GGCTGAGCCCATCAGCGATGGTGGTAGTGCCTCTGGGATAATGTATTTAAGAAGGGAAAAAAATGCAGAACAGCAGCAGAGAGAGAAGTGAGAGGATGTGAGAGAAACAGCCCTGTTGACATCAAGGTCAGTGCAGAAGGAGTGGGAGGAGGGGCTCCAGGCACCAGAGCAGATATTTCCCTGCAGCCTGTGGTAAAGGCCATGGTGGAGCAGGCTGTCCCCCTGCAGCCCATGGGGGTCCACAGTAGAGCAGATCTCCACTTGCAGCCCAGGGAGGACCCCCACACTGGAGTAGATGTATGCCCAAAGAAAGATGTGACTGTGCTGGAGCAGGCTCCTGGCAGAACCTGTGGCCCCGTGGAGAGAGGAGCCCACGCTGGAGCAGAAGTGTGAATCCTGTGTGTGAGGAGTCCTCCCCCTGAGGAGGAAGGAGTAGCAGAAAAAACGCGAGATGAACTGACCGCAACCTCCACTCCCAGTCCCCCTGCACTGCTGGGGAAGAGGTGGAGAAACTGGGAGTAAAGTTAAGCCTAGGAAGAAGGAAGGGGTGGGGTGAAGGTGTTTTAAGATTCAGTTTTATTTCTCATTATCCTACTCTGATTTGATTGGTAATAAATTAAACTAATTTCCCTGAGTCGAGTCTGCTTTGTCCATGACGGTAATTGGGGAATGATCTCCTTGTCCTTATCTCAGCCCACAAGCCTTTTGTTATATTTTTTTCTCTCCCCTGTCCAGCTGAGGCAGGGAGCAACAGAGCAGCCAGGGTCAACCCACCACAGCATCTTTGTGAAGTACCTTATTCAGCAATTTTTTACAAAACACAGTTTCTACAAGTAATAAGTAGGAGGCTCTTGAAAATTAATTAACATATTAATATAATTTGCTAAATACAGAAATTCAAATTCATTTTCTACCTGATTAGCTTCTAGTGAGAGTGCTTCCAGTTGCCCTTCAAGTCTCATCTTTTCCTTCAGAACCTGCAACATTTCGTCATGAGTTCCTGCGATAGAGCTCTCCATAGAAACACTGGAGACAGAGACAGCACATACACAGTTAAAGGGTTAGAATAGAACACTCACCTAGTTGAAGAAAAGTGAAGCCAAAATTAACAGGTACTCAGACTTCATGTGTGACCTAGGATTTAGGACATTTTTTCTGGCTTTATGATGGATCCAGAACACTGTGAAACAACCTTCATTGCCATTCAAAGAGATAAAGAAACTATATTCACACTAAGGTTTTATACATTAGTTTCCTATATTTGAAGCAACTAGAACCTTGTGTGGAACCCATATATTTGTTATTTTACAGAATTGCAATGGTTGACTTCATTATATTCTGTATCTGCATATCCCATTATGAGCAGACAAATGGGACATAATAGGAGCACAAAATCTCCACAACTATTGTCTGTAATTGTCTGCTTTAATGCAAAAGCACCTGAGAAATACCAACAGCTGCTGCAAAAGAAGGAGGAACAGGTATTTTTATAAGGGATTCCGTATGCTCCTTCCCTGATGTACAGCTAAGGATTCTAGAGAAAAAGATCTTCTCTCTCTCATTACTGTAAGAATTAAGTGTAAGCGAGAATAATTGTCAACAACTGATTTTACCTTAGCACTGTGGGGCATTACAATTTATTCCAATGACGAAAAAGGAAAAAAGGTAATTTCAAAATTAGCATGCATAAAACATGCATCTGCAGACAACTGATGAAAACACAACTGCATTGTTAAGGGCTTCACCAGTCATCCACTCGCTTGCTGAATCACAGTTTAATACCTACCATATACACATAAGCTTGTGAGACTAAGTAAATCTCATTCTAAAGGGCTGAAGAGGATAGGAGTATCTAGGACAAGACTCTTGGCATTTCATAACTATTTGAGGTCTGAAAGGTATGCATGCAGATCAAGAAAAGGATGATAATAAATATCACTGAGTCAGTTAAGTCTACACTTCTAGACTTTGAAGACCAATGCCAAATCAGTGATTCAGTGAACAAATGCCTGCTTCACAAGTAAATACAGATAGAAGCAACTGCTAGCAGTACATTTAAAACACAGTCAGTGGCAAAAATACCTCTCTTTAAAGATACACTTAGTAAATAGGTACTCAAGTGAAGTGACCTTTCCGTTTCTTTTCAAATCTGTAAATTAACAACAGATTCAATGACAATTAACATAAGTTAAATTGGATCCAAAGTTAGGAGAAGGTAAGAGTAATAGGCTGCCTATTCCAAGAAGGTATAATGCCTAACAATGGCCTCACTGTATGGTGATCTTTCTTACCTGCTAGAAATACTGTCTCTCCTGCTCCGTACTTCCCCATTAACTTCTTGCTCTTGGGCTTGATGCTCCACTGCCGCAGCCTGTAGCACCTCACTGATGGAAGGAAATTGCCCCATTGCATCAGGATGTATCTTCTGACCGTTTATTGTATATGGAATACCCTGTTTGCCTTCTGCATTCTGTAAACTGTTATACAGCCCTTTTCCTGACACGCTGCTGTAGGTCGAGCTGTCACTCTCATTTCCATCCAGCCTCATTCCCACTTCACTCCCATCAATTTCTGAAACACTGTCTCCTGCCAAGGAGGAATTCTCTATTCGATCATCTGTGTCAGAGGGTAGACTAATCTCAGAAACAACCGATGTTGGACCGCTTCTGCTTTGCTTCAGAGTCCCAGCAGATAAATCAGTAGCCACAAAATTCCCAGCAGTGTTTCTAGAGTCTGAATCTTCAGTTCTGTAGTCAGCCAAGGACCGGATCTTACTGGGCTTAGATTTTGAACTTCTCTCTTTTGAGGATGCTGGAAGTCCCAAACTACCCAGTTTCGGCCCCCTCGGGACACTGGTCCGCATAAAGGAGTATTCTTTTGTCATTGCTACAGTGCTAGCTCTTGGCAAGATTTCTGGATTTAACATCAGCTCAGGATCCAGGGTGCTGGAGGGACGGTTTTTGGATGTAGACTGATTCGACTAAAAGAAGCAAAGAGTCAACGATAAATTCCAGAATGTTACATTTGAACTAGCATCAATGACTTATTTTGCTGTAGAACTTAGTATGTAAAGCTCTACACTTTTACATTCATATTTAAAAATAAGCATAATTTCATAAACAAGGTAAATTACATCACCAATCACCCCTATCAAGGCTCAGTATATGCATGTTAAAAATGATCAAGGTAAACTCCAAAAGCTAACTGAAAAATATAGGAAAAAATGAACATTTAGGTTACTTAGGTTTTGTGTTTGGTCTTTTTTTCCTATTTTAAGTAGCACAAAATGGTCCATTATTGAAGAGGTAACAGAGAACCAAATTTTGCCTGTCCAGAAGACGAAAAATGCTTTCTCATATTTGAGAAAACTACTGAATGTTTAAAGCAGAGAAAACAGTAACTTAGAGCACAGAAAGGATAATATTTTCAAGCTTCTCAACACTACACTGAATCTAAAAGATCTGTTGAGTGGTACTCACTCTTTCTTGATGTCTTTTCACTCGGTATTGTTTGAGCTGTTCTTCTAACCGTCTCCTTGCTTGAAGTCTTATTTGTTCTTCTTTCTCCAATGGGAGTGAAGACTCTACTGAGCCTGTAAGTGAATGGTATCTTTACAGTCAAACAGAAAACTCCAACACAGGCAAATTTGATGCAAAAGGAAAAAGCCCCTTCTACCATCAGCAACATGCTTCATGCTTAAGCAAGGAACGCAAGGAAAGCCCATTGGCATGCACCTCAGAATACCCTCTTCTAATATATTCTTGTGTAAGCATTGATAAAGCCTGTGTATTTCTGTTGCTCAGTTTGCAAATGCTGTAGTTCCTCCACATATATACGACAAAAGAATATACAGTGAGAACAAAACTACTGCTGTCATTTAATCTCACCTGCCCTGCACTTCTGACAGCATTAAAATTATAAAAATAAGCAAGACCTATGCAGTCCACTCATTCACTACAGGTCAGAGAAGGATGTTCCCTAGATACATTTTCTTACTTTTTGCTAACTTACATTAAATCTTTCACATAGTAAGGCTTCTTAAAAACTTTATGTCAGAAAAATCCTGCAGAATTAGACACCTTAATATAAGGGCTTTCCCCCCTTCTCTCCCCTTTATTGCTCTTCTCTTCCCTCCTTTATTACTTAGCTTAAAACCACCTGATTCTGATGTTCTGCCTTTTTTTTTTAATGCCACCTGTTACTTCTAATAATCAAGATTAGAATAGCTTCAGCCCCAGAAAGCATAAATTCCCCTCCAGCACAAGAACAGTTTTTAAATGGTAAGGCACGTGCCTTAGCTGCAGCAGAAGGTGGTTTACTGAAAGGAAATGAATTGTAGTTCAAAGTAAAAGCTTACTGCAAAAACAAAGTTTAGTCCAAGCTTAAATGATGTTATAGGATTCTAGAGCCAGGCTCAGAGTAAAAAGCTTTATGCAGCAAGAGAAAGCAGGGGCACCACCGTAAACAGATGCTTACACAATTCAGTTTCTTGCATGGGAAGACTTAGTTTGAGAGACTGCAAAGCTTCTTTTCTAAGAACTATGCCCTCAGCACTAGTTCCCTGAGACTTCCTTAGGCTGTCATGGAAACCAGTCACACCTGGGGATGACTCTTGACCCTGTGCACTGCTGGTGGGGTCAAAAGATACAGGAGAGTCGGGGAAGAGTGACTCTGGCCCATTCTGGCAGGTGTCCACTTTGCTGTTTATCTCCAGACTTCCCTCTTCATTTGGCACTTCGTTGATGTTAATACTGGTAGCTGGAAAAGAAAGTTTCACTGAGCTACACTGTAAGCCATCCCATTTATATTCACAACTCCACCCAAATACAGTGCTACCACTATTGGCTTTAGACTGTAAGGATATGGAAATTGCTAATGACAGCAACTGGCAGGAGGAATTTTGTAAGACTTTTGATTCTTCATTTTAAAAGACTAGAACAAGTACCTTCCATTTGCTTTACTACATTGCCTTCAAGCAGGACCTCAAAAGTGATCATAAAATATCTTCAAAACCTTACACAGGTTTTTAAATCTTATTAGGTTTAGAGGCATGAAACACCAAGTGTAAATAACGTGATCTCTGTTACGCTGAGAGGCAACCTACTACAAATAAGACTCAGCAATGGTGGGCCTGTGCTGAATGATTCAGCTATTTGGTATGCTGCTGGGCACTGGGGAGAAAGCATCCAGCCCCAACTTCCAGCCTGGGCCAAGCAGAGTTTCTCAATTTTAAACAGAATTTAAATTTTTTCAGATAGGACGTCTTCATCCAAAGTACACTAGCAAAGCTCACATGCATCAAAATAATAAATCTACCAATTAAAAGGCAATTCAAGAACCACTTTAATACCAATTTTATCCCCATTTATCAATATCTGATTTTTCTCTTCCATCAGGAAAAACGCATCTTCAAAAGCAGTTCAACACTTCACACATGTATATTCTGGATTTCTCACACATTTCTACTTCATTTGGCTGGGGACTACTTACATTTATGAAACAGCTGTTGCAACAAAACTGTATATCTAACTTTAAATACATTTTTATAGATCTCAAATGAGAGGGTACTGCAATACCCACTGTCTTTCTGTTCATTCCCAGACCACATAACACTGGAGTAACTGGATATCATTGGAATAATACGGAAGATTTCATTTTTTTTCATAAAGATCTTTGAAAATTTTTAACACTTATGATCACAAAGTATTTGCAAGCAGAAAAATCAAGTTTCCTTTTTCTGTTTTTTTCCTACAGCTTTGAATAAGTAGTTTGTTTTTTTGGGGGGGGGGGGGAAGAAAAAACCAAACAAACCAGAACTGAGAAACAGATCCTCCCAAAACTAAGTGTTTCTAAGACTCATACGCAGAAATATTCTGGAGCCAGTAAGTTCATTATAACAATTCAATAAAACTTTAACTATTGATTTAGCCCAGCCCATTAACATATGGCTATTAAACTCCCCCCACCCCCCCGCCCCCAGATGAATCACTACAAATTTCTGAAAGCAATTCAAAAATAAAGCTATTTTCCTTCATGTACGTGGAGAACATTAAAGTGCACACTGAAACTAAATAAGCCATCTCTGCGGTGCATCCTCCCTTAAGCCAGCACAGATGTTTGTATACTGAACCAGCTCATAGGAAACTGAATGAGGAAACTGAATGTGGATAAAAATAAAAAGTTTTCAGCCTTAGTCAGCCTAATTCAGTTCTCTGATTCAGTTCACCATGTAGTCACAAAAACACTTGCAGGCACAATGGAAGGGATGGGCGCAACAAGGATGCAAAGGCAGACAGAGGACAGGACTGCCTTGTTAATGACTAACCAAAGTCAGAGTGTAAGGCATTTTAAAATTAAAAGATTGCCAAACCAAATTTAAAATAGATGTCAGGGCTAAGAATAGCCACAGGAAGCCAAAAATACGAAGATAAGTCTCACATTCAGAAATACTGTTTCTGCCCATCTTTCAGAAACTGCAGCTATTACTGCATCAGGGTTATACTTAATTTACATTTTTATCTTCACAACTGTGAGAGACACACATATACAAAAGAGATGCTGGAGCAAAATTTGGAGGAATGGTTTCCTGGCAACTTCCTGAGGCCATGAGACACTCAAAATCTAAACGATGCCCTGAATTAAAGTAATTTAATTGCAGTAGTGTCAATATAACTGCAGTCTTTTTAGAACAGTGGGGGAGGAGATACAATTACATTGAAAACAGTAGAAAGACACACTACCTATTTGTAAGCCACAATTCAATTGTTTGGATGATGTCCAACACAGGAGTAGACAGGAACATGTGATCTCGAACTTCAAGATGAATGAATCATCATATAACTACACTCTGCCAGTCTGATAACAGGCAGCGTAAGAAACGCAAATAAAGTTTCAGGCCTCCACTTTCTTGCCCATGACAAGATGACAAAGCTGTGGTACAAGAGGAGGGCGGAAGGCTAACAACTTCATCACATGATCACCTCCTTCTATGTAAGGAACCTCTGTACGTCTGTGTACCTACACAGCCACAATATATACACCCCCTCCACCCATTTACCACGATATCCTTATATACCACCATATCCTCAGATACGTGTAGTGGAAACACGGAGATTTCAGTTCGATAGCAGGAAAAAATTTTCACAATGAAAGCAGTTAAATACTGGAATGGGTAGAGAGGCTGTTGAACCTCCCTCTCTGGAGATTTTCAGAATTCAACACGACAAGGCCCTGAGCAACCTGATTTAGCATCAAAACTAGGTCTACTCTGTGCATGAGACTGGACTAGATGACCCACAGAGGTCCCTTCCAAACTAAGTTTGATTCTATAATCTATTCACACCAGTTTGGTGTGACTTAAGTTTCTTGTGAACAGCTGCATGATTATTTTATTATAGAGCTTGTCTACATATAAAAGTTATTTTGAGATCATTTGGGAAGTACATGCCAGCATCTCTGTTCCATAAATGGAAGTTTAGAGAGACTTTGTAAGTACCTTTTATTTTTTGCCTGATCAATTTAATTTATTAGGAAAATTGATTTTGCCAGAATAAAGTACTCCAGTCATGAGCTTACTCCATAACAGTAATTTCAGAACTGCTAGTTCTAGAGAATTTCAGGTATACCCTCTTGGAAACACTATAAAATGACAGAATAACACCCTGAACAACACATACTCAACTGACAGCCAATAGTACCTAAATCAATAGTTTGGTTTTGGTTTGGAAGAATAAGTTTTAAAACAAAAGACAGCCTTCCCATACACAGAGCCATAGCCTTCACCAAACTTGCTTAAAACTGCTGTACAAGTTCATGACCTCAAGAAAAAAAGTCAGCATCATCTGAACAACAAGACAGATTCACCAAACTTGCTTAAAACTGCTGTACAAGTTCGTGACCTCAAGAAAAAAAGTCTTTCAGCATCATCTGAACAACAAGACAACAAGTTGTAGAGAAGCCTGGGTAACACTAAGAAATGATTTGGTGCATATGAGGCAACTTACTGTTAACTTCTGTTGTAACTGGCAAATCTGACTTGGCTTTACAATCCAAAAGTTCTTCAGAGCTGCCAGGGGCCCCATTACTGCTTTCGTTCTCCAAGTGAACATCCTGCTGGACAGATGAGGAGTCCATGGTAAAAATGATCCAGATCCCTGGCAAGTTTTTCTTCTGAACAATTTGCCGCCAAGTGAACTACCAAGTCCTGTTTCTCTCCATCAGCAACAACAGCATCAAGATGTTACACAGGAGCACTGGTCTAAGCTTGCTGTTGGTGTGCAGCAGGCAGACGATAATTCCAGATCACGAAAACAGCTCGCAGCCAAACTTGTAATCACCAAGGAGCTGCATCCTCTAGAAACAAAATGTAGTAAACTTACAAACATTTCTTAGAGCTTTGAAAATATGAGTTAAAATGAAAGTAGTGCTCACAGATTACCCATCAGCCCAACTTCAATAAACAGAACCAGGGCATGGGGTAATAACAGAGACAATGAAATATGACCAAGTATCTGGGTTTTGCAACTAAGAAGTGATCTGCTTAACAGCTCTTTTATTATCACTTTTTTTTTTAGTAGCATTGATACACCAGCATAATGATGCAACAAGATAATATTCAGTGAGACAACTGATTTAAGATCACTGTACATTTTAATGGAAATACCTCTTTGGCCTCTGCTTTAATAAGTGAGACAGCATTCAGAGTTGCAGACTGTAAATTACAGTCTGGACTTTCATACCAAGGAACTGCTCCCATTTAAGTTCCAACAACTTTAGCTAGAATGCAGTATGGAATTCAGATTTGATTTTTTAAAATTATATTACATCATTACTGCTTATTTGTTGCAGAGCAACAAGTACGTATCACTGTACAGAGCCTGAACTACTAATTGCAGCACACGCTGGCAGTCATAAGATGGCCTGGGCTGCAGTTCAACGCTGCCTTCTCCTATGATGAGTCAAGAGGAGGATTTCCAAACACAGTTTACAGAATTTGCAAATGATTCTCCAGGCATTCATATCTTACCTTTGGGTATAGACTGAGCCAACTAATACAATCTGACAGAAGCTGTTGTACATAGTCACTTCAAGTTTTTAAATTCTTTCAGATAGTTACTGACAGCTGAATTCAGATTACAAAATGTTATGGTTCCTATTTACTAAAGAAATATAAGAAATCCCCAGTTAAAAAAAAAGAAGGGGGAGTTATGGGGAGAATGTCAAGTCAGGAATATTTTAATAGCATTTTTATACGAACACAAACATTTTGAGCAACATTCCTTCTTTATCATCAGAGAGTACTTGTGTAACTGCTACCGTACCAAACTGCCCTGGTCACCCCACAACACCGCCAGCCATCTCCAAAATGTTATTGAAGCTGCAAACAGCTCAGGAGACACAGGACTAGGTGATTACATAGGTGACCCTTATGTAGTTGGGGCATGAAGGAGCCAGAAACCTGGAGCACATTTCTAAAAGAGAAACCTCCACCAAACAGAAAGATTAATACCTTCACTGTGATTTGTTATTAATTTTAAAAGCTCTTCTGTATAATAAAGCTTACAATAAAACCTCTGGAAGAACAGTCGTTGTACGGCAAATAGATACTACGTGACAGGTCACAAAGAGGAATTACAGACAAAAGGCAAGCACAATTTAGACTGCTTATACCTCGGCAAAATCTAGCCAACGTTAGATGATTTGCTACCTCAGTCATAAAACATCTTTTAACAATACGGGTCACGAAGAACAGCTTTCTCCTGTACATCTCATTCCCAAATATTAAAGGTTAGAGCATTCTGGCTTCAAAATCCTTTTGTACCCCTGCGTTGAGCACAGGCACACACGGATGTACGCACGCCACGGGAACGCAGCAGTTCCTCACAGGAGCCA